CCCGTTTGTTGGGAAAGTACACAGTTTAGGAAGCTCGCGCCATTCCTCAACTGGCGACGCTTCTGCTTAGCAATTATCCGGGCCCTTTGTGTAACAATGCGCAAAAACTAGGACTCTTCGGGTGTTTGGGAAAAATGCTCCTTGATACGAATGACCGAGAATAGGTCAGCTATACTCGGCGGCAACTTTTCTTGGCAATGCAGTGGATGGTGCAGGCACGCGTTCCCTCTCCCATTTTGAGCGCTGAATAAAGCTGTGCGCGGGCTCTCCTATGCTCCACTGCATTGCCAAGAAAAGTTATCGCCGAGTATAGTGCTCTCGGGAGAATAGAATTAGATTGCGTCCAAGGCGGAAGAGAAACGTTTCACGTGACGACTCCTTGTAAGAACGAGCTGCCATTGCCCAACTTAACAAACTGACGCGGACTACAACTTCAAAATAAGGAAGGCGGAAACATATCACCCTTTTAGTAAGAACCTTCACCGTTCAATGATGAGCGAAACCGGTGAGTCGACTGTCTTTCTGAGTCACATCTGAAGATGCTATTCATCATGATTAACACTTATGCCGTGTGCAACAGCAAATCCACTGTTCAGTATGGTTCACTTTGAGGCACATAAGGTTGTTGCGGTATAAACAGGAATATCTGAGTTTTGGTACATACGGACCAACTCAGCTCTTTGACGTCACATCACAGAGGTGGCGCTGTTGTTGGCACTGTACATGCGCAGCGCCTCGCTTCCCCCGGATCTGGTTCCTGCACACGCGCTGTGTGTGCAAACGGTTTGTTTTGTAAACACTGTGTTGGTGTATACGGTAAATAAAATGAGCACGAATTACAGCCTCAAGGTATTCAAAAGTAATGTCAAAGTAATTTCAAAGTAATTTCATTACTTTTAGGAAGTAATTTGTAATGTAATTTAATTACATTTTTGCGTTTCAGAAAAAGTAATTAGTAATGTGATTTAATTACTTTTTGAAAGTAATTTTGCCATCTCTTCCGTAGATGTAGACGCGGTCGACTCGCAGTCCATCTCACGAAGCACACAACGAGCACTGAAAAGGTGGAGTGTGTGTATGTTTGTGCAGCCTAGAGCTTAGTCTGCCTCAACGGGCGACTTGTCTCCCAGCTGTAGATGAGAAATTTAGCCAGTGCAGTACGTCCGCTAGCCTGCGGTCTTTAACGTGCACCACGCGGTAGGGATACACGACCATACGCCGGGACGATGCTCATCCAGATCGAAACGTCCAGGGGTGGGGATTAAACCCAGAATCTCTAGATTCTGCAGCGAGCTTTCGCTTCATGTGCTCCGAGCTGGTGCGCGCTAGCCCACTCGGCTACCGATCCCCCTTTCCACAACGAGCACAAATGAAGTCCGAAGCGCACCTTTTACACACGGCGCTCCGGGAGTGATATCGGGCTCTTGCACTTGAGCGTGAGCGGTGCGTGCTTGATGACGTATTTCTATGGCCATCTTTCGGGCACAACAACGCCGCCTCTCCGGGTAATGGGACAAGTAAGGACATCCTAGAGGTCTAGGACGACCTCTAGGACGACCTCCAGGACGACGCCAAGAACAGCGTCGTCCTTGAGCATACGATTGAGCGCCGCTTGCCGCTCAGTCGTATTTTTATGGCCATATACGCCGCTTTTTCTCTCAGTGAGACAAGTAAGGCTTTCGCCTTAATAAAGGGAAGAAACAGCTTTCCTTTCGTCAACTTGCCATTAGAACAAGCGGCCACGTGATCTGATTCTAATTGTATACCGTCAGTGTTCATCACAGTCATGCACTGGGGTTGGCAAAGCATAGAGCATGGATTAAGCTTGAGACATTGTTAGTTAAAATATCCTCCTCTTTGATTGAACATGAGCCTCTAGCAGCCGAATGTATGGCGATGCTGATTGTCATGAACCCGAGCACTCGACTCGGGCTCATGACAGTCCAGTACGTCACGGTGTCAACAACGATAATGAGTTCAGTAACGTTCTCAATTTAAATCGTCTTGACGCAGTGAGTCTCGTGACGTCACGGGGCCACGTGACGTGACATTACTTGACAGCATGTCTTAACACCATGACGTCATGTGACCACGTGACACAGGATTGGTCATAGTGCCACTACAAAAGCGCCACGAAAACCAACTATTTCTTATACAACGCAGTTCTGTATTTGACGATATGATCGATACATAGAAATACAGAGCTCTGCCAATTTTTTTCTTCTCAAATATTTATTTCGTGATATTAACAAAAAAAAAAAACTAAAATATTACCGTGAACCATTTTGAACCGGTTACCGTTATATCCCTTTCCGGTTCAGTTCTGGTTCGGTTCCAAGATGGCGGCGAATATTTCGGTTCAGTTCAGTTCTTTTTCGGCTAAAAATTATGGTTCTGTTCCGGTTTTCGGTTCGGTTCTGGTTGGACACTCTGCTCTCAGTACGCTGATGCTCCATGGCGATCTTGGTGTGACCGGTCGGCCAGGGGTCAACCAAAATGGCAATTGCCATGGCAACTGACCGATCAGCCAATCACCTTGCGAGATTTGGTCATCAGTATGTTGGTATTAGGCACCCTAGTTGGTATCTCTTTGTGTCCGGCTAGGGGCTTTACGGTGGCCGAGTGGGCTCGCCAGCTCGGAGCACGTGGAGCGAAAACTCGCGCTGCAGAACCCAGGAGCCTGGGCTCAATCCCCACCCCTGCCCGTTTCGATCTGGATGAGCATCGCACCGGCGTGAAGTCGTGTATCACTACTGCGTGGTGCACGTTAGAGACCCCAGGCTAGCGGTTGTACTGCACTGGCTCAATTTCTCATCTACTGCTAGGAGTCAAGCCACTCGTTGAGGCAGACTAAGTTCTAGGCTGTATAAATGTAAACACACCAATTTTTGTGTCAAGGTAGCAGGCAGGGAAAGCAATGGTGCTCTTTCTGCGCACCTTTTTCACAAGGGCGCAGCCATCATAAATGTCGTCACTTCCGGTAAGCGTTAAAACATCGTTTTGATATTTCCACGCTGCTGGAAAGTGTTGACGAAAAATGCGTGATCGTCACATACTCTTCCCTTGCCCCACCTCTATTTTTTCGCGTATTTCAGACTGAAATATTTTATTGTCTGTTCGTCCCGCATTCCAAGTACGGAACCCACGTGACTGAGAAAAAAAAATAAACGAAAAACGTCTTTACGATTTAGCGACTTTAGCGTGTACGGGAGAGGCGAATAGTTTGCGACGAGCGAGACCGTGCAGAAGAACAAGTGGGCTGCGTGCGGAGACTGTGGATCTGAATTTTACTTACATGCATGGTTCCCGTTTCAAAGAAGTCCCTACAAGCCGTCGTTCTCCAGATGGGGCGCCGCTTCTTAAACGCTGTTTGTGCTACGTCGAATTGGGATGGCGAATTCGAGACAATAGGAAGACGCGCCTCGACGTGCCTCGCATGAATCGTGGTTCGGAAGGCGTCAATCCCCTCCCGCTTTCATCTTCCCACTAGAAAGTTCACGGATATCGCTGTTGTTGTTGTCGTTGTAGTTGTATTCGGCAATTGTTTTACGAGTGAAAAACATGTGAAAATAGATCTAAACAAAAAAACACCTAACCGATTTTTTTTTTGATTTTTTGTAATGGTGAGTGTAGATTTACGGTAATACGATGACGGTTCTTTCAGATTGGTTATAAAAAAACTGTGTAACCGTGTTCGAAACGTGCAGCAGTTCGCTTGAGAGGCCAACGTAGTTAGACGAACGTAACTCCCTCCTACCCAAATCTCATCCCCAACTATACTTCGTATTCACCTAATAAACCGCAGGAAAAAAAAAGGAAGAAAAGTTATATTGCGGCACATTATTAATTTTTCTGTTCATGCGTTCCATTAAGATATATGTAGACGTATCTTAGATTATATGTCTATGTTATTTTACCAAGACGCACACGTTTCATACGACAAGAGCGCCGTTTCTTCTTTCGATGACCAAATCTTGAAAGAACTATACGTACTTCTCGCGGCGCATAAATAGTGCGCAAAGCTTTCTTTTTGTGTCTATGTGACAACGAGTATGGGTGAAGGAGTCCGCATTTTCCAAATAAATGTCTTCTTTTATTATCTTATGGTCGCCTATCTCGATGAATGAACTGGCAAGGGTGCAGTCTCGAAGAGTAATATTAGCCTTTTGAGCGCATAGATGGCAGCTAGACAACGGCTAGTCAAAGCCACGCTCTGGCGCCGACATTAAGTACTGTCTCGGACGTCTGTGAGAAAAAAAAAAGTGTTTATCTCATCGCAAAAATAGAAATAATAATAAGAATAATAAACTACGCATTGCAGAACTCGCAGTCTAAGCCGGAATGTAGCGCTAACTTTTGGAATCAGATGGCAATGTTTCAGAACAGTGTTACCTCATGCAAAAGTTATAAAAAGCGATTGTCGGAATGTTGTTTTCATGACAAATGGTGAAGAAACGAATTTCGCGTATAGACCGTTTTTGTGTGACGTAGGTTGTGACGTTGTTGAGTTGGGCGACAAAACCAAGTAAATATTTTAAGCATAACGACAAAACTATCGGCACAAGCCCCTTGAATTCCCTCCAATGGGAAAATAAAGTGATTTCCTATTTCGCCCCAACTCAGCTAAGTCAAAATTCATCATGGCAGCGACCACCACAGAAAAAGAAAAAAATTATAGATGGAAGTGAATAACGTCCACTACGGAAAACGGGCTCCACTCTCTCATTGAAAACATGTTGGAACCCGTTTATAAATTCGGAGGTAGAAGCGAACAGAGCCGCACTTGTCAAATCATCTCATGAAGGCGCTTACAGATTTCTTTTTATATAGCACCCTCCAGCATTATGCTCAAAACATTCTAAACATTCAAAACAGTCGCATTGCCCGTACGAAAAACGAAAAACACAAGAATCACGGGCAGTGAGGAAAGCACAAACAATCTCGCAAAGAAAGGGGGAAAAAAAGCTATCAAAGCTAGGCTGTGCTCTTCCACGACACAGATGGTGCTGGCGGGACAGAGGCCGGAAACCATCGTGGACGTGTGTTCGCGGGCCCTGGGTTTCTGGTCTTACCAGGTGAGTGATCTGGTCACGGAAGCGGTCGCGGAAGAGATCGAGACTCGCATCGCACCTCCTGCAGGTGGCGCAGCAGTTGGGGCAGCAGGAGGCGTCCCTGGAGCGGAGTCGCCGCAAGATTGCCCAGCTGGAGGCCGCCCTGACCAGACAGGCCCACGACTGCAACTGTATCCTCGTAGCGGTGCAGAGTGTCAGTCGGCGTGCGAACCTGTCCTGTCAAAAACTCTGTAACGGTGTAATTACTGTGACAATGTGTCAGTTTGCGTATACAGATCTCTCCTGTCGGAGCATTGAGACGTTGTGATTATTGAATCGATGCGAGCGTGTTGTGAATGGAATACTTTAGCTTGAAAGGATAAAAAAGACAAAGGGCAAGGACAAAGTAGCCGTCTCTCCTCGTTCTTCATTGTTTTATTCTTCCACACTGAAGTGGGCACACTGCTATAAGGTGTCAATCGGCGTAGAAATCTATCCTGTCGGAACACCGCGACAGCTTCATTACTGTTGCAATGTTTTAACGGAACACGCTACGAGCACAGTTAATCCGCTCATGCATGAGTGCGGTACATTAGCGAAGGCTCTGAATAATGAATTTAAAAGCGTCTTTGAAAAAAAAAAAAAAAAACGAAGTGCGCTGCATTTACGTATATGCCGTGGACCAATGTGCCATCAGTGCGCTAAAAATGGTCGTCAGCTACAGGCCGCAGTATAGTTGTAACGTTGCTGGTGCAGCGTTCTTTTTGTACGAAGTAGACGATTATTTATTTTTTTAAGAAAACAATCTGTACAGCGACCCAAACAATCGGATACCCTGTAAAATTCTAAAAGATGAAACCGTCCACAAAAGATCCACATGAAAAAAACAACATAGATCGCTACCTGCAAGCGTCTATTTCTACGGACCATCGTATGCAGGGCCTTCCAGCTGCAACGCCATCTTATATATAACGTCTACATAACGCCACTCTATATATCATATATATATACTGCTCAGGTAGTATCTGCGGATACTGCCTGAGCAGTATCTGCAGATAACTCTGTCGGCGTGTCTGCAGGGAACGCAGTGTATGACGTTTGGGCAGCGTGAGTGCTGCTTTGATGTCACTCTCTAGTCTCCTTAGCGACGGTGGCCCCAGCGCTGCGGCAGCAGCTCGAAGGTAGGTGAGTGCGGGAGCTCCTCCGAAGTCCAGGACGAGCCCCCCGAGAGCGCAGGGGTCCTCCGGGAGCGCTGGGAGCTGTTCAGGCGCGTCGCCGACCTGGGCGAGCAGCTGATGGACCGCCAGAGGCTCCAGGCGCAGCGGGCCGTGGACCCCGGGCTGCAACCGGCCGTACCGAGGCCGGAGCTGTACCGGCAGCACCTCGACACGCGTGTGCCCGGAGAGCTGGACCTACTCTTCGGTCAGACTCAAGGTATAATTACTATATATCCTCGGGGGCGTGGGAGTGGGTGTTACGACTGGGCTGAGGTCGTAAAATGGACCGAGGGTTTCCATTCCGAACGCCATATCGGGACTTTTTTTTCTTTGTTTCATTTATTATGGCGCTGCTGCGGTTGTCCCTACTGGATGGTGCAGTTTCTCGTGACTTTTTTTAATATTTATTTTATGTATTTGGGTGGTGTTGCGGCTCTACGCTGGGTAGTGCAGTTTATGGAATGCTCGTAGAAAAAGCGTAAAGACTGCGAGAGCGGTCTACGAAAATATCGACCAACACACTAACTGTTTACAAACCAGTCAGCGTTTGCACTCTACACCAGGGTGATTCCACGTCAATTCATGCAATGATGGTCCGGGTCATAATTTAGATATTTTTGTTAAAAATATATGTGAAAGCCATGTTTTTGGGAGGAACATTCAGCTAGATATGAAAGCCGTAACAATTTTTTTCGCTGAGATATAAAATAGAGAAGCTTGAGGTGTGGAAATTGAGAAGATTTCACAATGCTAATTTGCACAGTCGTCATTTCCTTATCGAACCTTTCACGGCACCATAACTTTTTTAATAGGTTTTACAAAGGTTATAAAGCACATACATAAAAAATTAAAGATATCAATAAAATATTTCTATGCAAACAAAAATATCAAACATGGCATAAAAACGCGTTTTAGAGACATATTCACAATTTTTTTGCAAATAAGCCATCTTTCATAATACTTCACAAAACATATCAAAATGCGCGTATTTAAATATTCTTTACGAATATATAAAGATAATATGCCCACCCTTAAATATATTTTTGTTATGAACGCGGAAATGCGGCTGATTTCTCAAAATGTGGCAAGATTGGGCGTCGATATTTAAAAAACTCCATATTTTATTTTATTTAAACTCCCCTTGGCACTTTGTAGTGACTTGAACTAAGCTGTGATGGCAAAAGATTGAGTAACATATGACCTCCAAGCGGGAAAAGCTACGACAAACCTTCACTCGGAGCGAGCCGACGTCTTCGTCAAGGCGGCTTTGCCGGACAGCACCAAACGTTTTGAGCGTTAGTTATGGCATGTATTTTATATTATTAAAATTCTTTTTTAGAGCGCAGCTCTTAGGGGCCCGTTCCCGGCTTGAGCGGCGTCGCCGTCGGCGTCGGCGTCGCCGTCGGCGTCGGCGTCGCCGTCGCCGTCGGCGTAACCAAGGTCATCCCAAGGTCACGTGACCCCCAAGGTCACGTGACCCCTCCCAAGGTCATCTCAAGGTCACGTGACCCCCTGAAGGTCACGTGACCCCTCGAGGTCACGTGACCCCTTCCAAGGTCATCTCAAGGTCACGTGACCCCAAGATGACCCCACGTGACCCTTTGAAGGTCACGTGACCCCCAAGTCACGTGACCCCTCTGAGGTCACGTGGTCGCCTCCCCAAGGTCACGTGACCCCCGAGGTCACGTGACCCCCAAGGTCACGTGACCCTTTCCAAGGTCATCTCAAGGTCACGTGACCCCACGTGACCCCCAGGTCACGTGACCCCTCTGAGGTCACGTGGCCCCCCGAGGTCACGTGACCCCTCCAGGTCACGTGACCCCAAGGTCACGTGGGGGTCACCTTTGGGGTCACGTGGCCTTGAGGTCACCCCCAGGTCACGCCTCCCCGAGGTCACGTGACCTCCTCCCCGAAGTCACGTGACACCCTCCCCCGGAGCATATTAAAGAATGAGGGGAGGAGGAGGAGAAGGGGGAGGGGTCTACCCTCCCCTCAGTACCCTTCACTCCTCCTCCTCAAGAGCTGCGCTCCAATTCGGCGTTACAGGGATTTGTAAACGGCTTTCACTTTTTCATCAGGGCTGAGTATTAATGACGCGAAAATGGACTTTGAGCTGGAATACCATTAATTAGCTTACAATTCACAGGAACAAAACGGCCCCACTGTGCGAATTCGCTAACTATGCATAGATAAGCTTAAAACTCTCAGTTATGCGAATGGCCATGTATACATCCGGCCTCTCGGCATATGATGACTTCCACAGATGAGAAGCCTGGATTCCTCTCACAGGTTTTATAGTGGTCCACTCTGCTTGCTTTACCGCACGAAACTCTCGAACCCGTTCCACAGACAGGTGGAACGTGCAGACATTAGTTACTTTTTTACGTAGCACTTCCACAAAGTCTTTATCGGTGGCAATCGTTGAGTTGAGCGAAGATCTCAACTTGGTGAGCGTTGGTTCTTCCACCTACTTCATCACAAGCGCTTTCTCCGCGTCCAGTGGCTGAAAAGATCCATCTTGGGGAAGAGTGCGGCTTCCGAGACAATTCGTGGAATTGGAAGCGATTCTTGAAATGCGCCGCCGCTCCGTCTGATACAAAAATATTTCAAAAAAGACTGGAAAATGAACATTAACATACTCTTTAATGGCCTATGTGGCTATACTTCGTTTCAGCTTCGGTCCAAGCGCGGCCGATGTTATGAGCCGAAGGGCCAATCAGACACCGCAAAAAGCGCAGCGTCATGGCGTGCTCTCTGCTCTTGATAGGACTAGCCGGCGGAGGAGCGCGCACAGAGACACGGCGAATACCGGCTGGTCCTATCAACTGCATAGAGTACGTCATGACGATTCGCTTTTTGCGCTGTATGATTGGCCCTTCCGCTCATAACATCGGCCACGCTCGGACCGAAGCTGAAACGAAGTATAGAAGAGCGTGAGCTGTGTCATGTGTCGTGTACCATCGGTGACAACGGCAAAGCTTTGCGCGCCTTGCGTGGACGTAACCACACTTGTGGAGAGAGACACGAGTTTTTTTTCAATGAAAACTCTGCACTTCGGTTGGAAAGAGTACTGTCCATTTTTCCGCAAAATCGAAGTGGAACATGACTGCCTTGGGTGGTAAGGCGGTTCTTGTGTCATGTATCAGGCTTCGTTCAAGGTCAATGATGTAAGAATGCCTCATATACTTTTCACTCTCCTATTGCCGCAGGAAGGCAGAAGTGTCCATAACCTTTTTGACGAGTTCGCCAGCGTCCCATAATGCGAAAAAGATCTCTTCGTCTTCGTCGAGATGAAGCGACTGCAGCGAGATGCTCTGCGTTTTTGGGCACTTTTCGCAACGGCGCAGAAAGCAATCGTTCTGTGGAGCGCAGAAGAGGTAGATGCGCTTGAGGTCGTCTTCAGTAAATGTCTTCTTTGGGGCATTTGTTATTGCCGTTAAAAGCAACTGAAAATTGACGCAATATATGCATGCGCGCACCTCGTGCTCGGGACTTTTTTTTTTTACCCTTTTTGGTCGTAGGGAATAAAATTTGGAGATGCCTAGTTCGGGATGGGGATGGTCCTTCCTAAACAGCTGGTAAGCTTCCTTAATAGAGCGGGTCATAAACCTTTTTACGACTTTGAACATGTCGTTGATCATGGCTTTGACGACGTCCTTTTTGTTGGGGCTTTGAACAGAGCATGCGAGGTCGTCGCGTGTGTAGTACTCAATTGCAACCCTCACGTCTTCGGCATTCGCCTTTTTCCCCATGTAGGGATCAGGGGTTGCCCAAACACCACCTTTGCGCTTCAGTTTTCATGTTTGATCAATCATGTAGGCAGTCGCTTCCGACACCAGACGCAATATTTTTTTCTTCAGGATGATTGGTGGCAGAAGCACGTACAATCGCTTGCGTTCCTGGTGGGAACTACATGCCTTCAGCACTTCGCAAAACGCGTCAAACCACTCTGCGCAGTGCTCACAACTGTCTTTGAGTTCGAGAATTTCGTGCGGTGAAGCAAGCAAAGTGGACCACCGTAAAACCTGTCAAAGGAATCCAGGAAGCTCATCTGTGAAAGTCATCATATGCCAAGAGGCCAGATGTATACATGGCCATTCGCGCAACTGAGAGTTTTAAGCTTATGTATGAAGCATAGGTAGCGAATTCGCAGAGTGTGGCCGTTTTATTCCTGTGAATTGTAAGCTAATTAATGGCATTCCAGCTCAAAGTTCCTTTTCACGTCACTAATACTAACCGCTTATAAGAAAATAATTTTAATAATATAAAATACATGCCATAACTAACGCTCAAAACGTTTGGTGCTGTGCGGCAAAGCCGCTATGACGAAGACGTCGGCTCGCTCCGAGTGAAGGTTTGTCGTAGCTTTTCCCGCTTGGAGGTCATATGTTACTCAATCTTTTGTCATCACAGGTTAGTTCAAGTCACTGCAAAGTGCCAAGGGGAGTTTAAAGAAAATAAAAGATGGAGTTTTTTTAAATATCGACGCCCAATCTTGCCACATTTTGAGAAATCAGCCGCATTTCCGCGTTGATAACAAAAATATATTTAAGGGTGGGCATATTATCTTTATATATTCGTAAAGAATATTTAAATACGCGCATTTTGATATGTTTTGTGAAGTATTATGAAAGATGGTTTATTTGCAAAAAAATTGTGAATATGTCTCTAGAACGCGTTTTTGTGCCATGTTTGATATTTTTGTTTGCATTGAAATATTTTATGGATATTTTTAATTGTTTGTGTATGTGTTTTATAACCTTTGTAAAACCTATTAAAAAAGTTATGGTGCCGTGAAAGGTTCGATAAGGAAATGACCACTGTGCAAAGTAACATTGTGAAATCTTCTCAATTTCCACGCCTCAAGCTTCTCTATTTTATATCTCAGCGAAAAAACTTGTTACGGCGTTTATATCTGGTTGAATGTTCCTCCCAAGAACATGTCTTTCATATATATTTTTAACAAAAATATCTAAATTATGACCCGGACCATCATTGCATGAACTGACGTGCAATCACCCACCAGTCGTGGGCAGAGCGCGTGCCCAGAAGTATTCGAAAGGCGCGAAGCATTTGCGCATCTGCAGTGCCGACAGCAGCGTCACCGCCGCAATGTCGTGACGTCATAGAGTTTAAGTGGTGTATAGTGTTGAGTGAATCGGTAAAAAGCGGTCAAAGAAGAAAAAACATTGTCGTGTGCTTCGGTGAAACTATCCAGGTAAGAAAGCGTGACTGTATCGTTTTTCAGCGAATTCCTATCTTCAATTGACCGAGGTATAAATTAATATTTACAGAAGATGTAGTAAGAGCGAGCAGGGTTTATGGGCAGTTCCGTAACTGAGCTAATCTAGTAACGTTGGCATTAACTTAGTGACAGCAGGTGAAGCGGGGAGTGACGACAAGAAGTGAATAGCCACTGAGGCCTCGATAATGGCTGAGCTTTCTTCTGACAGATAGAGCGGCAAGCCTCGTAGGCCATGCGCTCGCCCGGGCTTTTTTATGTCGTCCGCAGCAGTACGCAAGGCTAAGTGCGTGTTCCACCAACAGCACCTATTTGGTGAGGAGATCGAACCATAAGGGGAGCAGTTTCGTTGTCATCATCATTACCACAAACAATCGCCGTGTGGCAAATAGCTCCGACGATAGCACTCACGAAGCGCACGCCGCATCGTTTTCCCGCTCGCTTCATATTTGCTTCTAGCGATATGGTACGCACTTTGTGCGTACCGTAGTGCTCGAAGCATGCTTTTGAACCGGGTTTACGCAGCGCGGAGGACTGCAGAACGTACGCGACGATGCGGACAATGTCCGCCGTCGGCTCATAGTGCAACGCTGCACTCGATGACATGATCGTAGTTGAGCACGTCGTCGCCTTCAACGAGATCCCCGCTTGCATTCGCCGACGTCGTCCGTGATTGTCGCAAGAGACAGGGTAGTTGAAAAGTGAAGTGCGTGCTTTGTGAATCATTCAGAAAAACACGGATGCGCTTGTTTTCCCTTCCAAGAGGACTTCGACGACATTGAACGCCATGAGGGGACTAGATTATACTCCTATCTAGATACGTTTAGGAGAAACAAATAGTGCTACATACCTTCCTCGAGCCTCGCGCCGTCGTCTTCCATGGCAGCGAATGCGCTAATCACTGCGGTCGGAGGGTTTGTTTGCCACACAGTGTTAGTTCCCACGTGACCGCTAGGGAGCGCCACTCCCCTATCTCCACCCCAATTCCTACTCTCGGGGAAAGAGGTGGGAAAAGCTTCCACTTCATTCTGTACCTGCCACCGACTTTAGAATAATCCAAATCCGTGAACAGCTTTCTCCACCTCCACGTGACATCATCACACCCGGAGCGCCCAGCGCCCATCGATACATCGACTGAGCACGAGGACGCCGAACGCCGACGAAGCACTTGTGTCCAGTCATAGTGTCAAGTCCGTGTCCGCGCTCGATCTGACTGTGATGCCGACAAAATGCCAGTGCACGGCTTTTGATTATGTTAGATTATGTTGATTCTGCGATACCGTCAACGCACTGGCATTGCTTCGTATCGTTTCCCCTTCCCCAAAACAAGTAAAAAATAAATAAAAAGAAAAGAACGTGTCTTTCCCAGTTTGACTGTTGTTTCCTCGTTAAAAAAATCACACCCGTTTGAGAACCAAAGCACGACGGAACTAATTTATTTAAAATATTACTGCCCCGGGGGTTATTAATCGCATTCCGAGTTGCCTCGAGCGTAAACGAATAATTTATTTTGTTGCTAATGAGAGCGAACATTAAGTGGATTAGTGTGACTTTATTAGGGGAGTAACGTCATTACGGCCAACTCACACCCACGTCGGTTTCGGAAGACAAAGAAGGAATATCAATGATTCTAGCGACAATACGAGTCTTAACGAAATGCCTTTGACGACGTTAAGCCGTTCTTGGCGAGGTTTCGCAGCAAATCTCGCCTGTGTTTCGTGTATGCGTACGTCGCAGCCCGCCAAATATACCTATTGCTATAGACGCTTTGCAGCAGCTGTGCATAGGCGCCGCCATAACTAACCTTCAGTTTTTGTTCCCCCTTATTACGTTTACTTCACTTCATTATTACCATAGCAGGCCAGGTTATTGACCTTTTAGATTTTATGCTGTCTTGCTCCCCAGCATTGGCCTTTGGGGAGGCGCGTCCACACCAATTTCAGTGGCTCGGTATCTCGGTAAAACAAGAGAAGGTCAGCAATGGCGGCTGTATTCTGGCGCGTGTGTAAAGCGCCTATATTACCCATGCATCAAGGAGAATGCAGGGATTGGTGTTCCACGCGCCGCACGTGCTGGCCTCAGTAGTAGTAACTTTTCTAAAGCAAATACCTAAAACAAATGGCATCTTGCACGCGCGTTCGTCAACGTTTTATTTTTGTTATACACGTGTGGCGCATGGAACACCAATCCCTGCATTCTCCTTGATGCTTGGATAATATAGCAAGTGGCCTATTGACATGAGAGTCACAGTGTCAGCGGAGCACTGTGACGGGTCAGTACCACGTGGCGTCATCTCGCATGATGCCGCAGTTTCCCCGCTAAATTTAGCGGGGAAATGTATCCGCTACATGTGGCGGGAATTTAGGGTCACGCGACGTCATGGCGCGTCACGTGACATCACGGTGCCACGTAAACATCGTCCGCTAAATTTGGTGGAAAGCAAATCAGCTGAATTCGAACACGGTTGTGTAACTGTGTGCAGGAGTGTGCGGTGTCTCGGAAGTTCTATCTGCAAAACGCAAAGAAGAATCAGGATTTTTTTTTTCTTTTCCTTTTTTGCAGGCGGCGTTTTTTCACGCCCGGCTCAAACGGACCCACGGACCAGCCACATGTGACCAAGACCGGGGCCAGTTTGCTAGAATCGGCGTCTCAGCTCAGAGTGTGTGAAAGAAAGCACTGCCAAAGCTAGCACAGGAGCAAAGTGTGGCACGTAAAGTCGATTCTCAAGAGCTCGCGCCACCCTTAGGCTTGGCATGCTTTTTTTTCACACGGTCTAAGCTAAGACGCCGATTCTAGCGAGCAAGAGACGGTGCGACGGCATTCACGGCTCGAGATGAGGCCATGCTCGTCTGACGTCCATCTTTCTTCCATGTCCGCTAAAGTCGGAAAACTTTTTTTTTTTTTTTTTTGCCGATTTCGCTGAAAATGTTTGCCATATTGAGATATCTCTATTGTTCGTTTGTTTCAATTTTTATTATTGTATTGTGTAAGTTCCAACTTAAACTCCCCATGCTATTCTACGAAAAACTTGCAAGCCTAATAAATTCAGAAGGGTCTTCTTTCTTTACTGAGAACCTGAGTATATCTAGCGTTACTGCTGCTGAGGGGATTAGTCATCCTACTTTTAAATGCCTGAAAATAAACTGTACAAGCGTTCCTTTTTCAAGTTATTTCATTAGTCGGCGAGCTGACTAAATTATGATTATATCCCCAATAAAAGTGCCGACACACAACGCGTTTTTTTGTTTTTTTTTTTAATAAACATACGCGTTTTTTCTACAGCCATTGTTAAGTATTCTCTGGACGGATCGCTAAACAAGATTACTCGGGCTGCAAATAAATTACCCGTAATAATTTTGTTAAGCTTATGAACCGCACACTCTAAGAAAGGCCTGCGTATCTACTTACCAGCAAAACACTTGAAGAGCCAATCTCTGCGATCTACTACAAAATCAACCCAGCTAATGATGAGGCGGAACATCTGTTTAGAACTCAAAATTAAGGAAGGGAGGAGAGGAAGGAAGACAAAGAAGTTAACCTGGGGTATTTTTTCCCGGTTTGCTACTTTGTTTTGGGGGAGGGGGATGAGGGGAAAACTCAAAATGAAGTCTGCGCTGTGGCATTACGGGATGCAAGCATGACGCTTTGCACCACGTAATGCCACAGCACAGACTTCCCTTTTAGGTCTAAACGGATGTTCCGCCTCATCATTCGCTGACCTGATTTCCTAGATCGCAGGGATTGGCTCTTTGAGTGTTTTGCGGGTAAGTAGACGCGCAGGCATTTCTTTGATTGTAAGAAATTATAGAAATCTTGAACGTTGGATACTTGAGAGTCGGTTCCTTAATCTCGAATGTACATTTCGAAATTTCACCAGCTCGCCTGAATGTTCTGTGTTATGGCACTGACCAATCGCAGCAGTCCGCATTGTCCCGGTACCTTTTTGGTCCCGCTTGGTCCCGCCATTTAGCATAGGGCGGCTGGGGCCTCCAAACCCTGTCCCGCGGATGGACGCGGTGTTATCATTGACGCCCGGCCCGCGGCCCGATGCCATAAACGCAAAAATAATCACGCTCAAAACTAGAAACTGGTACTTTGACGCGCAGCAACATCGCAAACGAAGATGTATAAAAACCTGGGAGGCAACTGCATCAAAACACGAGATTTCTCTCCATAATATTTATTGTACATTGTCGCCCCTAGAATTACTATTCGTAGTTCTCTGGTTTATGTCTGCGTAACTATATGATAAAATTCATTAGCGCTCTCATAAATATCGGGCTTAGTGTCCTGTGTCATAATTCCCTCGCACATTGTCATCATCAGATCTATACTATTCCCATTAGTCTCCTTCGCAATGTGATCTGCCAAAGTTCTAATGTGTTTCGATTTATGACTAATGAGTTCTCCGGCTAACAATCTTGTAATGTTATAATTAGCAACATATTACACTGAAAACGAAAGTGTGTGTATTCATCCACCTTACATTTCTTTTTTAAGTTGTGCTCCAGTTTGCACTTTTGTACTTAAATGCATAATTAGGTTTATTTGGTTAGGATTTTCTCATTTATACTGCCTTAACTACTTTTCACCCCTCGAGCCCGCGACAGGTCCCCCATCCGGCGCCCTTGACAGAACTTTTGGAGACCCCTATTTTTAGACCATAGAGGGGGTTTCATAACACCTAACCTTAATCTCGGCCTCGCACCGTTTACGCCAAAGTCAGCCGATGTTGGGGCGTCTAGGCCGAGATTGGGTATACGTCAACCGTAAGACATACGCCTGACAAATTGCGCCGAGGCCAAGTGTCCTTAATGTGGTTATCGAAGATTTTGCAACGAGGCATCAACCTTCCGGGACAGGATGAGGAAAAAAGGAAGCTTGGTCATCTGAACAAAGCATTACAACCAACGAAAAAGAAACGTTAGTCGAAGGGCTCAAATGGGGGAGACGCAAACGCTGACAGTAAAGCCACATTGTCGATCGGCCGCCACGGCTCCTGTTAATTGATGAAGAGGGCGAGGAAACAGGAGAAAACAAACCGCAACCCTAGACAAACTGTAAGAAAACCTTGTGTAGGAGAACCGCGATAATATATTGGTTCAAGATATACCGCAGGGGACAAGGACTGGCAGCAGTTCGCGCGAAGAGGTTTAAGGTATGATTCACAGGGTGCGATTTCGCTCGCGAATTCGCAGCTGCGACGTCGGGCACCGCAGCTTCCCCGGGCTTTGTTTGCAACACGAGCGACGTCGCAACTGCAAAATCGCAAGTAATATTGCACCGTATGAATGAGGCTTTAGGCGAGAGGTCGTCGTAAACTTTTGCTTTTGCGCGAAGGCTGAACGCACCGTAAATCAATGAGCGACTTGGAGAAATCGTTTCGCGACACTTTCATCGCCTATAAAATTATCTGGTTCTTGAAGAGGAAGGAAGGGTCATACGAGCGGTTTCGTTGCATTTGGTAGCACCGATTAGGTCTCTCGGAGCCGTCGACCAAACGATAGATCTCATTACCTGGGAGCTCACTCGTTGCTGGACGCCAGATATATGTAGGATAGAGTTGTAATTTACAAATATAAAAAATAAAAAAAGCTAACACATGCCATTTTGTATTTATTCATTTGATAAAGGCGTTAGCAAGACTGAAATGGATGACATAGTTTGTTGTAGCTGTAAAACCCAGTCATGACGGGGAAGATATCGTGACGTAATATATTATAGGACTATCGGAATCATCACACACACTGCCGGCGTACCGTGGATCTTTCGCTTTGGCCTCTGACGCCAAGAAGGGAGGGAAAGGGGCGGGGGGTTGAACACTTGGTGGCTTGTTTCGTAAGAAACCTCTTTCTTTGGACAGTGATGATCAGAATTATTTTCTTAATCCCAGATACTCTTTATCTTCTTTACCTTCCTTACTCTTATTATCACAAGTGAGAACGAGTTCTGTCTTTAAAATATAGAAATTAGTGTCTTTACTGAGTTCACCCTCTCCAACGAGAAAAAGGCCTACTCGTCTATTTGCCCCGCAGAGTACGTCACGGTTCAATCAATGCAATCTTTGGAGTTCAATCACCGAAATGTGAGGTTCAAAAGACGGTGGGTTAAAAACGCAATAGGATGGATGGATGGATGCTGGGTAAATACTAACGGCTGTACCCCTAATATCGTGCGGTAGCTTGCGCCACCTAGCTTAGAAATTGAATTTAGCGGAAAAATTTCTCGGGGGAGGGGGGGGTCCCGTGACACCCCCAGGTCCCGTGACCCCCCCCTCAGTACCCCTCCCTACTCCTCCTTAAGAGCTGCGCTCTAATTCGGCGTTACAGGGAGTTGTAGACGGCTTCCCCTTTTTATTTCGGTAATTAGTAGTTTACTTTAACTACTTTTTTGAGTAACTTCTACTGAAGTTACAAATTGCATTCAAATTTTAGTGGTTCTTTTGCCTATACAAGCATTCCTGCACAAAGGAGAGAAGATGTTGGAAAACCAGCTGATATTTGCAAAGAGGGGAAGCATGTGGCGTAGGAAAGGAGGGGGGGGGGGAGGAAAGGTATTTGGAGAGTCCAACCCCCCTTCCCCCCCCCCCCCCCCCCCACACACACACACACTAACTGCAACAACACTGCTAGGAGGCGCGGGGAGCGAACAGACACGACGCAAGAGAGGCCGAGTAACTGCAGGATTAGCGCCGAAGACTGGAGTTTCTCTGTGTCCCGAAGCTCAAGGAGGCTTGACCCATTTGAGGAAAGGGCTGGTTCCGCTCCTCCCAACATAGAAACTCTCCCCCATTATAGAAGGTGCAGACACTGCATCCTCACTCAAAGGAGGCAACAAAATGCAGCACCCGCTCTGAAACTCATCTGGTGCTCCCGTAGTTTGTGCTGTACTCGAAGAATAGCGTGCTAAAGGGCACCACAAAGATTGCCTTTCCAAAGATCGTTCGAGAAACCTGTAGTAATTCCCCCAACGCTTTTATATAAAAAGTAATACACAATTCCCCCAACGCTTTTATATAAAAAGTAATACACAAGCAGTGTTGGGAAGTGCTTTATGTACATGGTACATAAAGCACAAAAAGAAAAATTGTACTTTACTTGAAGTAAATTTTCTGAACAAGTACTTGTATTTTCCGAGGAAAGTAAAACTCCCGACTTCAATGTACATTCCCCGAATTTGTAATCAAATTTGGCGGTATCGTCGTGTGAAAACGCGCTCTTTCGAGACGTTTTCTGGTCATTTCTCTAAGTGAAATAATGGCGGCTGTAAGACCGATGCAAATAAGTGCCTTATAAGTTGATTGTGTCAAATAGCTCGTCAGCGAGAGTAAAACAACTACACTGCAGTGACTTGACTTTATACAATATTTGCTGCCATTTCCGTAAAAAAACTTATGCACCTCCGATTACCCCTGGAGCAATGCATACCATTTTAAAAAAAAACACTGTATAGGGAATGAAAGGGCATCATGAAAAATGGTGTTAAACGTGCTTGTACTTTACCTTGAAATGTATTTATATACGTTACTTCAAGTACATTGCAACCGGTGTACTTACTACTTTACTTGATGTACATAACCCCTCATTTATTTTAAACATTACTTCAAGCACTTTTTAGATGTAGTTTACGCAACACTGCAAACAAGCAAACACTGTCTAAAAAAATCAAGCTCAGGCGCTGCCAAACCTC